CGCAGGGACCATCAACATAAGAGAGACTTCATCTCCTGAGGACCTCAGATTGATCAGGAAAAAAAAATAGACAAGTGTCTACATAAAATTCTGGACAAAATCTCTCAAGTAGGAGGACAAAGTGATCCAGATTTTCAAGGACTGATGGCCAAGCAGAAGGAACCTCTGATGAATTATCACTTGATTTGGTCCATCCTCAGGATTTTGCACTGTCACACTGGTGACTGCTTTTTGGGGAAAACTTCCCAGACCTCTCCAAGAGTTTCTGGACCACCACACAGCTGTCCAAAGTTATCCCTAAGAATCAGATCAGCCATCTCACAAACCTCCAACTTAGTCTTAGAAGAGAAATATGAATTGAAATAAAACCCCACAGTGATTCAGCAATGTCCATCCAAACCTGGGGGACACACAGAGCTCCTGATGGGGGACAAGGCTCGGTGGAACAGAGCAGTGGCTCTGCTGCTGCTGTGGGAGTGTGGCTGAGCCCAAAACCACGAGCGTGTGACACCTCTGAGCCCAAAACCACAAGTGTGTGACATCTCTGAGCTCAAACACACCAGTGTGTGACACCTTCAGGGCACCTCTGAGCCCAAAAACACGAGCGTGTGACACCTCTGAGCCCAAAACCACCAGTGTGTGACACCTTCAGGGAACCTCTGAACCCAAAAACACGAGTGTGTGACACCTCTGAGCCCAAACACACCAGTGTGTGACACCTTCAGGGCACCTCTGAACCCAAAAACACGAGTGTGTGACATCTCTGAGCCCAAACACACCAGTGTGTGACACCTTCAGGGCACCTCTGCAGGACATGCAAACACACACCCAACACAAGCACGGCTCTTCTGTCCTGCTGCTCCTCCCTTTGTGCCAAAAGAACTCGCAGCCAAACTGGATCCAGCATCCACGACAGGGGGGAAAAGAAACATCTCAGCAATTAATAGACTTCAGCTGGAATCTCCCAGGAGACAGTATTAAAATGAAGGAGGGAAGAAACAAATAAACAGAGGAGAAAAGAACCAACCTAGCAGTGTCTGCCATGCCAACTTCCAAAGCCAAAAGTCAAGCCCAGGACCCCATGGCACTGTTCCCAGTCTGAGATACTGGGAAACAACCGGGCTAATGCATCTCCCTACCACTCTCTGCCCAAGAATTCCCATTTTCCAGCTTTTCTCCACAACCACAAAGCTCTGGAGGTTTTGTTTCCCTTTAAGAAGCCGAGATTTTCACTGAAGTCTCTGGTTCTGAGTGCTGGGCTGTAATCCAAGAGCCCCAAGAGGCAGACATCAGGAGGTAGCCATGGGCTGCAGGCACTGGCCACCAGCCCAACCCTTTTCCAACCAGCTCAGCTGGGGTCTGGATTTGGGAATCCACACTGCTGCATTCAGGAAGTAGTTCCCAAAATGCAGAATTTAACCCCAAAATTGCACCGTGAAGCAGCAAGCACAACTCTCTAACACACCATTAATACATCACTGTACCACACTCACCAAGTCCAGCTCTAAATCTGGTTCACACAGAAGACACAGAAAATAGAAATATTCTCCCTGATTTCAGTGCAATATTCTCAAGCTAATCCAGAGAATCTACAAAGTCCCTAAGGTATAATTAGAGGTTTATTATAAAAGGTGTTTGGGATACCTGTCAGCACTGAAGGACACTCTGTATTTAAGGTACTCTTAACATATACAGTGGCAGTGGGCCATTTTTTGAGATTTCATTAAACAAAAAAAGCCAACTTGTTTATTCACCTCAAATGACTTTTCTTAGTCTCTGCTTTGTTTTTTTTTTCAGTCTCTAACTTGATTAATGCCATTTTAAAAAGGCAAAAAGCAAAAGCCATCAGTAAGGTGGTTTAAAACATATCTCATAACACAATTGCTATCTAAATATTGTTTTTCACCAAAAAAAAAAGGAGTGTAGAATATGCATATTCACTCACTGGTTATTGTAGGGTTGTTGACATCAGCTTTTTTTAAAAAAAAAAAATCAAGTGTGGAGGGGAAATGAAACAATGTGATACTTCTTTGAAATGGTCTCTAACATTAGGAAAACATGCAAAGAAAATCCCATAGTGATCCACTTGCAGACCTTCCCACAGTGCACCAATAAATAACAAATTGATAAAATAACAAATTCTGTTTCAAAGCACTTGGGCTGGCCTGGCTTTTTCAAATTGTTTTTTAAATAATATATGACAATAATACCACCCACCAGCATATCCTGAGGCTTTGGGAAAGAGAGGACCCGAGTGGCACACACAAGAGATGCTCTGTGGGAGCTGGTCCCCCTCCTGGCTGTCACACCACAGGTGGCTCTGGGCAGGTGTCATTCCCCACACTGAAAACAGGGAGCACATGGCATCACCAGCTTCACGCCACAGCGAGCATTTCGCATTAATTAAAAGGTGGCTCCATCACACACTCCGGGATTTGTCACCACTGCAGCACAGCACGGACCCACCTCCTGTATGCCTGGGGTTTCAGCAGACCATCCCTGCACTTCTAACTGAAAAGATTTTAAGCCTACAAGCACCAAGCTCTATCACAACTTCACAAATGTTCCTAAAATTGAGTTCAAACTGGAATGAAAAAGCATCTCCAAAGTGATGCTCTGCTCCAACAGCTGGCAGCAGCATCACCTGTGCTTTGCTGTTGGAAATTAAGCCCTGAGGGTGAGGTGGCCATGGCCGTGAGGGGAAAAACATCATTAGGAGATAAAATCATCTCTGCTAATCCTGACTGTGAATTCAGGTGCATAATTAGAGCAGCTGCCAGGTACAGCTCTGCAGAGGTGACCTTTCCTGGTGCTGTCTGGATGTGACACCGTGGAGGAATCAAGGCTGAGAGAGGATTTCTCCCTCCTCAAAACACCACCTACCTTTGGGGCAGAAACAGCAAAAAAAACCAGAAAAAAAACGCAGGAGAGGAAGGCAGAGCAGAACAGAGCAGGGCTGCAGATCGCTGTGCCAAGAGGGTGTGCAGCTCCTGGATGCCCTGAAATCGCCCCTTCCCAAACACCAATTTCCATCTCTCCCTTCAAAGCACAAGAATAAAATATTTGGGAGCTGGATGGATGCACAGTAAAAATACTTCACCACCAATGGTCTCCATTGGACTTGTTTTTGAATCTTGCAGCAAAGCATGACTGCGAGAGAATGTTTTCCTCTTCTAGTAGACTATTTACTGTTAGACACCTACATAAAATGATGGATATTTGACTTAGAATTCTATTTCTCTCCCCAAAAAAAGCAGGTGAAATTGAGCTAGTTGGCTGCAAAATTAGCAATACTTTCTTGCTAATTCAGTTCCAAGAACCTCCCTCAGCTCTTTTTTCTAATCACATGCAGAACAGCTACACTGCACATACCATTTTTCGCTACATTGAGCTTGACGAAAATTTAAGACTTCCTCCCCACCCCATCTTCTTTTTAATGGGAGATGTGATTATTGAAATTAATTCGGAAAACAGTCAGCATTCACCAATCAGCTCAGCAGTCTGGGTTTTCTTCATCTGCTGGTTACATGCTAATTATTGTACTGGTGAGATTATTTCCCATTCACATTTGGAATTTACAACACAGTAGGGAATTGATTAAATTAGAAGAAAAATACCAAAAAAAATAGAGAAAGAAATCAATGACATTTTACATTCAACATGTTTTTTTGGGTTTTTTTTCCATTTTGTTCCCAGCCTCATGCCTACAATGCCCTGACAAACTCAGCCCCAGCAGAGCAGATGCACAGAGCAGCATTTCCCAGCATTAAGGACTGGAGCAGAAATGAAATCCACAGAGCAGATATTCTGGGAAGGATGCAACCCTCCCATGATGATCAACACCTCTGATGTTCCCCCCATCCTCCACTGCCTTACACCAACCATACCCTTTTCCACTTGGCTGACACTTGTAATTAAGAAGAAAAATCTCCCCCCACGTGGGAAAGGAGCCCCCATTGCCAAAGCCAAGGCTCCAGCAATGCTGAAATGCCCACACAGAGGCAGGAACGATGTCCCCTGCCCCGTGAGCAGCTCTGGGGGATTGGGGTGGCTTTGTCCCCACACCAGGAGAGCACAAAGGACAGAGCAGCACCAGCCCACAACACCCAGCAGCAAGGACCACCTTATCCTGCCACCAGGCCTTCCTTATGGAAACTCTTTTTTCAGAGATCCCTAATTTCACTAGTGCATCTCAAATACTATTTACCATCTCATTTCACCTGGACAGGCACAACAATATTGTCAACAGCAGGGCTGTGAGCACACAAGGGATGCAGTGTTTGCCTTGCAGTGCTGTTTATTTGTGGTTACACCTCAAAGTAAGGGCTGTTCTCACCCCCACCCTCCCCGTTCCAACCATCCCCTTGAAAACTACAATAAAAAAATAAAAATAAAAAAAAAAATTTAAAAAACCCCAACCGAACAAAAAACCCAATCAAAACCTATCCCAGGTGCCAGAAAAGAACAAAGTAGAAGCATAAAGGCTTTAAAATTCCTTTAAACACCCCAATCTCCTGCTTGCCACAAACTGCTCTGCACCCACCCTCTGAGACCTACCCTGAAGGTAACAAGAAAAGCAATGTCCTGCAAGACTGAAGGGAAATACACAGGTGACCCCACAGCAGAAAGTAAGATGGAAAAAACACATCTAAACTGACAAAGAAAGAGAAAGGTTCCAGGAAAATCAGGAGAACATAGTGTAGCAAAAGGAGCTTGGAAAAGGGTTAGGAGCAGGTGGACACAGTGACTGTTCACAGGAGAGAGGTTTTGTAAAATTAACCCCCAGTACACCAACTCCAAAAATACCTCCCCCACAGCACCTTCATTTCTAGTGCTCTAATCAGCACTACTGTGTTCCCAGGGCCAAATTTCCAACCTCCAGAAATTATGCTGGCACACTGCAGAGCAACCACAGCTCAGCATAGGTTGAGAGAGCAGGACAGCACCACACCACCGAGGCAGACAGAACAACAGAGGGAAAATAACTGAAAACAAAGGACCTGCAAACCTGCAGCAGTTGCTACATCATCCTCAGACTCTGTCTTCCTGCCTGTAAAGACCATGGAGATGCCAGACACTGGAGCAGGGAGTGCTGGCTGCCATTTAAAACATCTGCTGCACTTCCCAGTGCATGCAGGGCTGGGGGAGCAAAGCCCAACAGGTGGCTTATGGTCTAAATGAAATATTCACATCATTTGTTTGCTCACAGCCCAGACCACAGCCTGCCTCCCCTGTGCTAGCACAGCCGAGGGGGTCTGTGCTTGGATTTTTGGGTTTAAGTCAGCTCTGCCTCTATAAAACAGAGACACTCTCCTTCTCTTAAATGCTGTCTGACATGGAAATGATTCCTAGCAAAGGAAGAAAGAGCAGGATACATTTCAGAAGAGGAGCCTGCTTTTACATCCTGTTTAACAAATCAAAGCACAACACAACACACAGCAGGCTTGCACAACCTCTGGCACAGGTGTCAGGGTGATCTGTCTCTGAGGGCCACCCCACACCCAGGAAACAATGTAAACGCCAATTAACTTTTAATGCAAAGTGTAAAACTGCATTAGCAGGGCTGTGAAAAATGGCATCACATTGAACCCTTCAAGGTCTCCAAAGCCACCTGCTCAAGGCGCTGGTTGAGAGGTGACCACCTCTGCAAGGCTGACCAGAGCCTGCAGCCTGAAAGGGAAAGCCCAGTGCTTTCTATCACTGGAAGCTGGAATGATCCTTATGCTTCTCATGCCCCAAGGCAGGACCTGGAGCCACCAGGAAGGTCTCCAGCCACTGCAGCCTGCCCTGAGTACAAGCACCAGGAGCCAGGAGTACATTTGGATCCTTCACACAGAGACCCAAGACTTCATTAAATATGCTACACATCAAAAAAGCACCCAAGACAACCCCATTTCAAATATCCTCTCACACAAAGTATACTCCAAGTACTCCAGAGCACTGCAACACAGACCCTTGCTATTCCTACACTGAGGAAATCCGGAGATGAAGAGCTGTAAGATCAAGTACCCAAACCTATTTCTGGTCCTCTTAACTAAACTCTTTATTTTTACCATTTTAAGAGCAGACAAGAAGAATCCCTCTTTAAAGACAGCTACCAACTGATCCCTGATTATTTGGGAAGACAGGAGCTCCACCAGACAGCAGGGTACAAGCTTTTGGCAGTAACTGCACACTCCATCTGTGGGATAACCCAAACATTGGACTTACTTTCCAAAAGGACACCAGCAATACCACAGCTGGGCTTTAAGACAGGAAAGCAAGACACCAGTATGGCCATTTTCTTGAGCTTTGCTGTATTCTGGGAGTTTTGTTTTTAAATTCATTGCAGCAGCTGGCCTACCACTGACCTGAAACGCTTTTGGAGAGCAAAAAATATCCCAACAGCTGAGAAGCACCTGGATATAAAGAAAAAAGTGTCACACCTTCCAATTTACAGCACTGCAATTGTAGAACACAAGCACACAGAAAATGCACAGACTCCCAGATGGAGAGAGGGACGGGACTGATTACATACAATTATTAATGTGTGTCCCTACACCACTGGAAAAAAAAGAACTGAATGTGTTTAGAAAGAAACAAAGCAGTGAAAAATAAAATGACTACTCATTCAAGTATTTGTGCAACACTGGCATGACACCTTAGAAAAATAAATATTTGCTTGACCTATTTCCAAAAGAGAAGTTTTTTTAAAGTCCCATGAAAACTTCTTTATTTATTGAAGCATGAGAGAAGAGCATTTGCAAGCATCCTGCACACCAAGCCATGTTCCAGGAACAACTAACTCCCTTCTTATCCTTTCCAGAGGAGCAAACTGATGCCTTGACACCAGTAGGACAAAACCAGCCAGAAAACAACATCAAGACACTTCTTCAGGAGAAGAAGAGTTAAACAATACCGACATAAACAGCAAACAGCCACCTTACCCCCCGGAAGCCCCTTTCTACTGATCCATCTGCCTGTTGCTCCGTGAATTTTTTAATTTTTCAGTGCTTGCACTTTAAACCTGGGCCGCCCAGACTCTTTATTGAGGAGCCAGGCACCAGAGTTCATTCCTCACTCTATTCCTGACATGGCTCTCAAGAATCTCTATATTAAAAGAAAAAACAAACAAACAAAACCAAAAGCTGTTCCACTTCCCCCCAAGCAGCCCAGCAGCAAAGCAGGCAGGGAAGCCCCATCACTCAGACTGAATTTTCTGAGCATTACTGGGCAGGAGTGTTTGGGTGGAGCTATAATGGAAACTTTTGCAACCTCTACACCATGTTATTTTATTTCATTTTTTTCCCCAAGCAAGTGCTAAAACACATGAGGGACCTGGCTGGAACAGCAAGGGCAGCACTCGCCTGCAGTAGGAGGAACCTTACAGATGCCATGACTGCAACTGGACACAGTTTGGAAGGCTCAGTCTCCAATTCTTCTATTTCTAATTTTAAAAAAAGCAGGAATAAAGAGTGAAGAGACACAGATAAAAGGGAGTCCAGATAAATGTCCCTTTATTTGTGCCTGTAGAATGAGGAGAGGGCACCCTCCCAGTGTCCCTCTGAATGGGGAGAGGAAAGAGAAACCACAAAGCCTTTGAAGCCCCATGAGAGTGTCCTCCACGTGGAGATGAGCCACGGCTGCCATGGCTGTGACTGCTCTGGTGACAACCCAGCCCTGGGCTCTGCTCTTGTGCCATGTGTCATCACCAGCTCCTGAGCTCCACCACAGTCTGCCCCAACCAGGCCTTCACAGTCACTTCATCCAAGCTCACTCCATTTGCATTCTAAGCATTGTTATTTAGAACATTTGTCAAGAGAGGGAGGAAAAAAAAAAAAAAAGAGAAAAAGCAAACAAACAAAGGAGGGGAGAAATACAAGACTTTTTTCTTTTGTAATTAGAAGCATCACTCCAGCTTCTTCTTAACAAAGCAGAGGAGCCATCACAGCTGCCAGAGGGAGAGAGGCTGCTGACCTTCACCACAAAGACCATCAGGCACCAGCAAGCAGGATCTTCTCCAAAATAGCCTCCATAGCAGGACTAGATTCATTCCACCTGGAGCAGGTGTTTAACATAATCCTCCTGATCTCTTATATAGTTAATGCAAAGAGATAGATAAAAAGATACAAAAAAGATATAATTAATGCAAAAAGAAATCATCCTGCTCATCCTAAGGGTGATTTGCCCCATACAGCATGATTCTGTGTCTGCATAGAGCAAATCACTCCTAGGATGAGCAGGGTGGGGGTAGCCTGGACCTAGCTCTGGGCTCCTGCTCTCCCAACAAAATCCCTCTATTCCAGGGTGACCCAGCCCCCTGCAAGAATGAAGGCAACAATAATTTACATTAGCTGTGAGTAAACCAAGGACCTCTCCACGGGGTGAACCTCCCTCATGCTTTTTTTACATGCAAATCAGGTGGAAAAGACAGAAAGGAATAATAATATCAGGCAATGGGAAGCAAGGGACCCATTGCAGCAAAGTGGGCAGCAACAAGCCAGTCCATGGGGGTTAACTTGCACAACCTGAGGGGGCTGAGCAGGATGGGGGAGATGTCTGCTCCCACCTTCTGCCTTTTGTTTGCACAGATTTCTACAGACCCCCAGTTGTTTGTCTCCATTCCCAACAGTTTTTAGGGGGATCTGATGCCCTGCCTGCTGTCAGCCCAGTCCCTGGAGGGGATGAATGTGAGCAGGTCTTGCAGAGCTCATCACAGCCCAGATACTGTCCCACATTCAGGAACAGCAAGAGATGCACCTGTGTGACAGCCTCACACAAAGCAGAGGGATGGATCCTGGAGCCCAGAAACCTGGAGGAAGTCCCATAGGACCAAGGCACAGCCGTGCCCTGCAGACAACGCTGCCTCCAGACCTGTCCCATCACACAGACAGGGAAAGGCTGGACAAGGGATGGACACAGCCCCGTGTCCCAGGGCTGGACTGCAAACCCAAGTTGCAGATAATTCCAAGAGCTGCAAGATGAGCTGTTTTCACGTAGTAACACCATAGTAACCAAAGCGGAGGGAAAAGCTCGTATACACAGGGGGACAGCGTTTTTGGAGAGGAGGAGCAGGAGGTCTAAATAGAAGGAAAACCCTGCAGAGCAAGGAGACACACCTATATAAAGGGAGAACTGGAGCCACACTGCTGTTTAAATCTCCCCACACTGACAACCCAGATGGCTTTCACTACCAGCCTAGCTCACCTGCTCCAGGCTGTCAGCACCACCTGCATCTATCCCTGCACCCCCCCATGAAAGCCAGCAGTCCCCATGGGGCTGGTTTTACTTGGCTTTACAACAAGGAATTTATTGATAGGGATGTGCTCCCACGAGTGACTTCAGGGCTTCAAGTTACTACAGCTTTTCTACAGTAGCAAGAATTGCGGAGGCTGAACCCTGTCAGAAAAACCTATGCTAAACCCCAACCCATCTATAATATAATTAACACCAGCTACAGATTAGGCTGTATCTGAAGCAAATCAGATCCAACAGCCTTTTCTTTCCCTCCCCCAAAGGTGGGTCAGGACTCCAGAACTGTGTGGGCATCCGTGTGCTGCAAGTTACTGGGATGCACTAAGAGGAAACAATAAACAGACTGGAACAGTCTGCTCCCTCTTCTCAGCTACGTTGTAAAATACATCAAGGTCACAAACCCAACCTAGTTAATAGAAGTTATCATTAAATTGCTGTTTTCTTTTATGGTAAATAAAATGCATCTGAGCATCTGGGTGTTTTTCTCTTCCTCCTCATCTCTTAAAGAGAGATTAGTTTAGAATAAGCTGTTCCAGATAATGAAGTACACTTCTGGCTTCCTATCCATGGACAAGTGTTCCTCAGGACACTAGGGTCCTTGTTTGGAGACTGCAGCCAGAGTAGGTGGTCAGGGAGAAGAGCAGCGAGCAACTGGAGCCACCCAACAGCACCGGGCAGAGAGAAAGCCCATGGCTGGGCAGGGTTCATGCCTTTAGTGGGCAGAAATGGAAAAATCAGATCAAGAAAGACTTGTATATGAGTTTTTCAAGGTACATCACATGGCCTGACAAGTCTCATCACCTACCTCTCCCCCAAAAGTTTCCTATCACGTAATCAGAATAGCAGAGAACTCCTTTGAAAACCCATATTGTCTGAGATTGGAGGGTGCACGCAAAGCGTGCCCCGAGTAGCAGGATGGGGCCACTTCTCACACAGGCCAGCCTGCCGAGCCAATGCGAGCAGCACACACCCAGTCTCCAGCATGGACACACATCCCATGCACAGGGACATCTCTGCTCTCCAAATCCACCTCTCGCAGCAGAGAAGCCTCGGTCTGCTGGCCCCTGGCCACACGCCCGGCTGCCACCGCAGGAGCTCTGGCTGGGAGCTGGCACAGCCCAGGCAGGACTTTACCCCGCCAGCTCCAGAGTGCGAGGTTAAACCACTATCCCCAGCCAGGCAAGAAAAGCAACGAACGGGAAATCTGGGGTTTAGTCCCGGCTGCACCGCAGATTTCCTGTGCGGCCTCGGGCTCCTCACTTAGCAGCCGCTGAGTTTTCCTACCTGTGAGAACGGGGAAGATGCCGACTGCTCACATCCCGGTTTGTCCCAGGCATCGGCACTTTCAACCTGGCACTGCCGCAACACCAAGAGCTCCAAAAATCCCCACTGTGACCAACCCTCCAAGCCTCAGCTGCGACACGAGTGGTGTCTGCTGCCCCGCTGTCCATGGAGCGAGCAACCAGTGAGGGGTGGAAAACACTTTTCTTCCTCTAAAAACCCAGACTAAAAGAAAAACAACCCAGACCACCCCGGGGGAGCGGGGTCCCGAGCCGCCGCCCGCAGCCAGGTGCTCACGCAGAGCTCCCAGAGCGGCGGGACCCGATTTTAACTGGATTTATTTCCAATTAAATCGCTGGCGAGCGCACGGCAGCGCAGCCCCGGCGCTCCCCGGCCGGCGGCAGGGCAGGGCAGGGCGTACCGGGGCGGGGGGGTCCACGGGTGTCCCGGTCCTCGGGTGAGCTCCCGGCACGGAGCCGGGGAGCGTGTGACCGCCCCGGCCGCGCTGCCCCGCACCTGCCGGGGCTCGGCGGTACCGGGGGCAGCGGGTGCGGGCGGGAGCGAAGCGCGGGGCGCGGGACCCTCCCCGCGGCGCCAGGCGCTGGGCACTCACCCGCGGCAGGTCCGTGGCGGCTCGGCGGGGCTCGCTGCGGTCCGGTCCGGTGCGGTCCGGCGAAGGCCCCGGCCCCGAGCACGGGGCGGGCGGCGCAGCGGGGCGGGCGGGCACCGCCGAACCCAGGCATGGGCGGGGGGAGCGCGGGGCGGGCGGGCGCGACACACACCGGCATCAGCCGGGCTCCATCGCGGGCGGGGGGGCAATGACGTCACCGCAGCCGGCCGGAGCGCGCGTGCGCGCGGGGACACCCGGGTGGGTCGGGGCAGTCCTGGGACCGGGACTAGGAGTGGGATCTGGGATCTGGGACCTGGGACCTGGGACCTGGGACCGGGAGTGAGACGGGGACGGGGACGGGGACGCGGACTGGGACTGAGATCTGGGATTTGGGACTGGAACTGAGACAGGGACTGGGATCTGAGATCTGGGATCTGTGACCGAGACCGGGACTGGAACTGCGACTAGGACCAGGACCTCGGACCGGGACCGGGACTGGGATCTGGGACTAGATCCAGGACTGGAACTGGGATCTGAGATTTGGGACCTGGGATCTGAGATCTGGGACTGGGGCTGGGATCCGGGACCGGGCCTAGGATCTGGGATCTGGACTGGGAATCGAGATTGATCACCGGGGCTGGGATCTGGACCGGGACGGGGAACCGCGAGCGCCTGCCCCGGGGCTTTGCCCCGAGTGCTGTAGCAGTCCCCCGAGAGCCCGTGAGATGCGCGTACCGGGGAGCAGCACCGAGCACGGGGGAGGTGATGAGGAGCGTGCGGCCACACCGGGGCTGGGCACGGAGCCGTGCACACCGGCCCCCGCTGTCCCCGCCGCCTCTGCTGCTCCCCGCACGGAGCTGAACCGGCCGGCGGCGCCGGGCTCCGGTGGAACCGGAGGAGGGCGATGAGCCCGGTGGAAGCGCGATCTCCATCAGCTTTGTCAAGAACCGCGGGCGGCTCGGGACGGGCAGCGCTGCACGGTGTCCAACGCGGTGGACCCGGCATGGATGGTTGGGTGGCTGGGAGCCCCCAGTCCCTTTCCTTCCCCAGCCGCTGTCCCCGGGCAGGTGGGGCTGTCCCAGCCGGTGGGGAGGGAGGCTGCTGTAGGTGGGGGGCTCAGGGGTCCAGCCACGGGGTGAGCTGCACCTGG